TAGCATTTCTTGGGATTCATATTTTTGGTTGTCTGATGATTATAATTCCAACATTCACTCTGGCTCCTCAGTTGCTAAAAGCTCCATCATGTTCACCAGTAAATCTCTTGTGCCTTTAATGTTTGTAGAAATATTGAATAAAAAAACTTCAGTTTATAGTAAAAACTAAAACAATTGTGCTTTACCTGAAATGCACGTTTTTTTTTTTACCAATGTGCCATTTTCAGGGATTTTACAAACCAAAGACAAAATCCAGAAAACGGAGCCATCCATTCAATCCTACATGTGTGCAGGTGACCAAGTGGGTCATCCCTGTGATTGCAGTGGAGCTGCTGCAGTAATAGATTCTGTCAGCCCACTGCTTTAAGCTCTGTGTGAACACTGGTGGAAGCATATGATGGAAAGAAGGATGAGACGAATCACGGGCAGCCTTCTGTTGTCTTTCTCTGAAGTGAAGCTCTTTAGATACTTACAAACAGGTTTTCTTTGAACAGATCCCAGTGACGTGCTGAGCCTTTCCCTGTCTCTCCCTCGCTGCTTTTTTAGTTTCCATAAGTTCCACATTCAATTTCAAGTAATAACCTGAATTTGGTTTTGATGTGCTTTGATTTAATTAAGAAAGCAAGTGGAATAGAGAAATTGACAATCCCCAATTGCTATTTTTGGTAGCTTTGAGAGGTGGATTTGTTGAAACACTGTGAAACAGTATTTAACACGTTTCATCCCAACACCTAATTTATAAAATGCTGATTGTTTTTCCTCCTTGACCATATTTGCAATATTTTTTGTTGAACATGTATTAGTCAGTTAATTTCTCGTGAAAAATGTCTGTGATTGATTACTAGAAACTGTAAGACATTTTCAAATTAAAACTCAATTGGAGTGGGAAAGGCTTAGGCTGCCTTTACTGAGAAAGATCCATATATCTGCTTTGTAGGGTAATTATACCAACTGTGTGAAAACTGAAATCAATATGTTTTCCCTGAGTCCAGCAAATAAAGTAATTAAACTTAATTTGAGGGATATAGTTGTTTTTTTTCCATCTGACTAGACACCCTCTTTGCAAACCAAAATGTCAATTTATTTTTGAAATTCTTTTTTTTTTTTAATTTTGGGGCTGAGACCAAATTTAAAACATTTTAATGTTATTAAATATTGTTATCTCTGCCCTCCTTCCAATGTATGAGAACTTTGCATCAGCTCTATAATTTTTATAATTATTATTATAGTTTATAATGTTTGGTCTTAGTTTGAAACACAGCTGCGAGCATGGATTTAAAGTCTTAGGCCATGACAGTAGTTTGCTACATCAAAGTTCCTCTGCTGATGCATTTTAAAGTAAGATACTTTGCTACATCTATGTTTACGTCCCTCGTTTGCTTTCATTTTGTATAAACAATTAATTATTTAACACCATGTACATTGCTAAACCAATCACGCCTGATATACTTGAGACTGCAATCCAGTTATAGCAATATTGACTTCCAATATGCTGTTAAGTGAAATCGTGGGCGCGCTCATAAGTCTCCTCATAAAGAGTCCCTGTGGTTCTCGGGGACATGAATCAAAATGCCAGTTGTCAGTGAAAAAACAGTTTTAAGTCAGCACCATTTTCCAGGTATAAGGACGGGCTGCTCAGATTTGCAGTCCTGCTTATTCTTTGATCATAAGCTGTCGTTTCAAGCCTTTGCTCTCTATATGGGGATATTGTATAATGTAAATGCCCTTCAGGGAGCTGTAGCAATTTCTGTAATAGGTGCACTGGTATGAGGCTTCAGCCACATCAGCAGTTGCTTCCTTTCCTAAACCTTATAAGACATTCAAAGTGCATGTACAGCTCCAGGACTAAACTGGATGCAGTAACATCCAGAATGCATTGTGCAGGGGTGTCTGCCAGCATTGGATCAATCAAATGAAACCTGTTCTTGAGGATCACATGGAGGGCCACATGAGGGGAGTGTGACGGTGCATCGAGTGCACTCAAAGAAAAGAAAATCTCCTGATGGAGAGGGAGCTGATTGAAAGTTGTTTCGGGTGGCAGCTGGCTGGATCGAGCATGTTTTTTATTTTTCAAAGTAGTTCCTTTCCTCTGCTCGTGCTGTGCATCGGCTCCACCTCGTGCTCCTCGAGTGTGTGTGTGTACCGTCTCGGCAGGAGCTCACAACACTGTTGCACACAGGAATGCCTCCTCCTGTCCATATGCCTCCTCAGCACGGCTCACAAATACTCAGACAGTTGCAGAGGAAGCTACGAGGAAGGTGACAGGCCAGATATTGGACCTCAAAATGTGTGAGCACGCAGCCCTTCAGGCTTGTGTTGTGCTGTTCCAGGCCTGAAAGTTTGTTTGTTGTGAGCTTTACCATGTTGGCCTACCTTGCACACTATCAACCCAGTATTCCTTCAGAGGCCATGTGGGGTTCCAACTTATCTTATGTTTCCTAAACACCAGAGCCTTTTGTGACAAAAATAGTGACACATAGTTCTATGTAACAGATTAATGAAATGTGACATTTTAAAGTTTACCCAAATTCTTTATTATAGATAATTATAAATACACAGAAAACACAAGTACAACCAAATTTGTAGAACTGCAATGAAGACAATTGTATCAATAATTTGAAATGCATAAATGCACATCTTTTCTGATAATTCATGTCTGTGCATATCCATAAAGATAAACACTGATATGTCTGACCATACATATACCACACAGTAGTGAACACTTAAATTACTATGAACTAATAATTATATTGTATACAATGTTTAGCAATGCAAATCAAACATGCACTTTATAGTAGTGTAGTATGTTGGAATTTTTTGTGCAGATGATGGTCTGTGTATATTTATGTGTGTGTGTGTGTGTGTGTGTGTGTGTGTGTGTGTGTGTGTGTGTGTGTGTGTGTGCATGTGCATGTATGTATATATATGTTTATACAGATAAAACTTTGAGCTCCTCCAGACGCAAATTAGCACTTGAGGATGGCGTATGTGTGTCTGTGTAAGGTGGAAGAAAAAAGCACAGGTCGAGATGGCAGGGTTAAAGGTTCTGTTGTGGTTCAGGGATCCTCGAGCTGCAGGAGGGGCAGAGTTGCTCCTAAGTCAAAGGCTGAAGACAGAGCTCCAGTTTATCCCTTATGTGTTAGCCATGTTTATTTATGTTCAGGTCAAGTTCAAGTCTTGATTCCTCGTCTTCATGCATTTCTGCTGTATAGTGAAACCTTTTGGCAGCAAGCTAGATATACAGTCATTGCAACCAGCAAATGCATTGACAAAAGTGTGACTTAAAGAAGTAATTTGCGACCCATATTCAGGTTCATAATTTTAATTTGTATTATTTATATTAAAAGTTTACATGCTTCAATGTATGTTTTATATAACCTGACCTTGGGAGTATGTGTGCAATGAGACAGGCTCTATGGTGTACAGATGTACTGTGTGAGGATGGTCAGAAATTCCTCACCAGTCCCTATACCGCAAACTTTTATATACACAACAAATCTAGATAATACAATAGAGGAAAGAAAGTCTGCACTAGCATCACATGTCTGCTTTAATCTTATAACAGGATACAGTTCTAGTCTCTATGTCCAAATTTCCTGTGAATAAAGGGGCGGAGATGTTTTAAAGTTCTTACATGATTTTCTTCTGTCTTAGAAGGGACTGAAGTGCTACAGGGTCGGTATGTGTGAGAAATACAGAAGTGAGAGGGAATGAGTAACCAGCTTAGTAGCTGCCTTGGAACATATAGCACAAAGCACGTCCTGTGTCATTAGAATACCACCACACTGAAAATTGTAATTTTCTGAAAGCGATTGCTGGTCGTAAAATGGTCGGGTAAAGACGACAACGCACATATTTCATGCAAAGCCTCGAGGGACAGGTTTCTCAGCGAGAACAAGACCATTTTGAAATTCACAGGGGGCAAGAGGAGCTCAGGAGCTGAGCTGGAGTTGAGTGGCGTAAAGTGATGGGTGGAAACTGCTCAACATCTAAAGAGGTTACACTTCTCCACCAGCACCATTTAATAATTACATGCATATGTAAAAAGCAAACTCCCTGCAGTATCTATTCAGATGTATGTTTCAATATGCATGCTATCACTTGCAAGCAGGAACATTTAGTGGAACTGAAATGTACCATTTGAGACAGTTTATTATATATTTCCTATTTCCCATGATTCATATGGTAGAAGGTGCAATTTTCTACCATATTCCTGCCTCTGGTGTTTCGTACATGTGATATATTATCATTGCTCATAGCCACATTATGTCTTGACTGTGTGAGAGAGAAGATGCAGTGGTGCCAGGCTGTGGGAAAATGAAGCTTGAAGATTTGACCCTGGGGCACATGAGGAACATGTGGTTCATTACAGCTACACGACCATAGGAAGCTTCTTGACGTCACTGATCCAACTCATGGGAACACACTGAATGAAAATGTCCCACCCATTGTAATAAAGCTAGTTTTTTCTATAGAACTATAGTAGTGTAGTAGAACTATAGTAGTATTAATTTTTTCAGTCTATTAATAACCTCTGCTGCATGATCATCTTGTCGGTTTAACCCTGTTACAGCTTCTGTCTTCCTCTGTGATTTTCAAGAAATCAAACACAATCCGTTATTTGCAGTGGATTCAGGCCTGGGTACTTATGAGTGAATATTTTCAACAAATGGAAAGTGCTCTCAATCCTTTTTCATCCCTCCTCCTATATCAGAAGGTCACAGAGGCACCGACGGGCTTCCTCGCTGAGACACTTGTGTGCTGTGACACTGCTCAAAGGAAAGTCCATTTGGGTCTTTTCACCCGCTGTGTCTCTCAAAAGGCCAACTACCCCCTCCTGGGTCATTCAGGCTTTGCTTTTTACTCAATATTTAGAGCTGAAAAGGCAAAAAGAAAGCCACACAAATGTTTTTATATTTGATCTATCCTCTTCAGGTCTGTCAGTCATCCTTCCTGTTTAAAAGCAGATCTTCTGTTTTTTTTCTTTTTCCGATTGGTAGGTTCATCTCGAAAGCACAGTGCCCCTCACTGGTGTCTGCAGAATATCGCACAAGAATCAGTTGACAGCTCTGATGAGGAATTCTTTGATGCCAGAGGTTAGTATCACATTTAATTTCCCTGTTTAGCCTGTATTCACCCCTTTCAAACTAATTTCCACACTTGTCACTCTTTTCCATCACAGGAACTTTGTCAGATATTCTGCTTTCACAAAGCTCAGCAGATGCCTCTAAATAGACGTTTTTAGTTGATGCCAGCTTTGTGCAGAGTGTAAGTGGTCTGGCTGACTTAAACAAACACTACAGCAACCTCTACTGTGTATCGACCAGAATAACCAATACAAAAAACATGGAGAACTCTTGTAAGACCAACTTACATGTCCAGGTCCTCATAAGAGAGGAGGTGAGGTGGAGCTGGATTCAGGGGCTATAAAAAAAACAAGTTTTCTCAGCATCTGGCAGAAATGTGGATTCAGCAGAGCCAGGAATAATAATGACGATGATAAAGGTTACGAGTTATTCACTTCCTGTGGTGGGAAATGACTCTGCTACTGTAGAAACCTAGACCGACTCTAATGAACACATCACAAGACCCAGAGGAATTCTCCCTCCAATAATACTGACACCGTTACTGTATATCCTGGTGCAGGGTTGGTGTTCTATGATGTGAATATGTGTCCATGACTAAACTGGGAATCCTGAGTTCAGAGTCTGACCGGGACACTAATGGATTACGAATTAACTTTCACCCTTTAAAATGATCTCAGTGCACCGCTGAAGATTCCTGCAAATTCATTCAAGATGTCAGACTGACCAGAAATACACACACTACGAGGAATACTTATTCCCCCAATTATTCACTCCAAGTGCACATCCCCCTAGAGACTGACAGTAGAGATACTTATCAGTTACTATTATTATAATATGTTTTTTTATAAAGTCATCCAGTAGCCAGTGGTGTGTTGTCAGTTTCTGGTGTCCAACCTTTCTTCATATAATCATGATGTCAATCATGTCTCCTGCCATTACAAACAAAATATAAGTGCACAACACCTGAACCAAAGGAGCAAATCAAACGGCCTCTCTAGGGAAAGGATCCCATATTGGCATAGATAAATATTTTTGTCTTATGTTTAAGGAATAGAAGATTCATCCATTACAGATGATATTTTTTGACAGAGAACCAGTTTTACAGACCTTGACACAATGAACAGTCTTTCAGGGTTAATCAGTCTTAAAATGTTCCATCAGTCCACTTCAGACTGCAGAACTTCTCTGAATGCTGCCGTCACGTGTTCTGGAAAATAAATTCATGACCGGCGAAAAGAGTTCTTAACATCTCACTAAGTCTTTACCACGGAAATGAAGCGGAGAGAAAATCTATCAAACAGCCGAGAATTATCTGCCTGTCACAGATGATGAGCTCAGAAAGACTGAAGTGTGAAAAATGTCAGAGCTATCGATTATTTGAGAGGGACAGGGGTGAAAGAGGAATCGACTCGCTGCAGTAACTCAGTCAGCTGACCAGCGTCCACCAGGAGAATGAGCTGTCGACCAGACATAACAGAAAAATTGGTTGAGCAGCCAAACGCTGTTGGATTTTTAGATGATGATGGGAGGGCGAGAAAATTACGCTCGAAATCCATTCAGTGTACTGTAAGCTTTCTTTACAAGTGTCATCTTTCCATAGCGAACAGTGTGATCACTCACAAAGCGGACGCACTTTTCACTTCATCACTTAGCATAGTTATTTCACTTGTCTTCTTGCTACTGTCTGAGTGTGCTGTGAACTTCCTGCGTTGAGTTTTCTATAGATATAATATTGACAGAGAATATTTTCACTCTGGATTATGGTCTCCAGCCTCCACAGCACGTAACACGGGGAAACCCTGTCTGTAATATAAATAGATGGTGATGATGAGGCTCACTGGGTAACAGATCAGACGTCTGGAGAACGCTCGGCTCCAATTCCACTTTTGTCATTGGTTTTAATTATCGTGGTACAAAGTCACACGTTTTGTTTTTTGGAAGTTTTCATGGATTTTTCAGTCACTCTCACTGTTGTTCTAATTTCTCATTCTCTGCTCCTGCCCCGATCTGATTTGTTTGCTCTCCTAATTTCCCTTCCATGGCATATTCGGTTATTTTCTCGAAAAGTCCAATAAACTATGAACTATCGATCCTTATCACAGGTGTCATGGAGAAAAGCGGTGCCTGGCTAGAAATGCATTTTTATGAAACCAAGGTGTCAAGGTGCCACTGTGGCATAAGATAGCATGTACAGTGTACAGATGTTGCATGTGAACCGACCTTGTGCTGTCTGCATCGTGAGATTCAACGCTCAGCTGTGAAATATCGTCCCTGTGTGTGAAGAGGAGAGACGGAGATGTCCCTTATCTTTTCTCAATAAACAGCACATTTAAATAGCCTGTTTAAAGAAATGATACAGGGAGAGACTCATCCGCCGTGCAAAAAGCAAATCAATGATACTGATGTTTGTTTATGTTATTGTTTGACACAAAGATCCCAAAACCACCATGTCTAAAGCTCACAACATATTTTATATAGTTTAATAGATGATTTTGATTAACTCAATCATTAAAAACGACTTAGTTGCATTGTGCAGGCAATCAACAGACACATCAGGATGTGCCCAGTCATAATGTAATAATAACTCACTAACACTTTCCTTTACACTTTGGGTTTAGTGTGACATGTTAATTAGTGAGTGTTAAAGGTGCTGCGAGGTGTGTTTTTAACCTTTGTACAGAGCACAAGCTGTCGCTGTCTGCTCCTGTTTCCAGTCTTTTCTCTAAAAGGTGAACAGGCTGCTGGCTGTAGCTTCGTGTTCATTCATATTCATATGCATATTCAGCTTATTCCTTGAAAATGTATCTTCTGCTGATGTGACGGTAGTTTTAGTCACAGGTTGTAACGGCAAATGTGGTTTCGTACAACAGGTCACAGAATTCTCGATGCAGGAAAGCTTGTTTTTTGAAAGAGAAAGGATTCTTTTTCCATTATTCTGTGATTTGATTTCATGCTGCATAAGGCATGAGTGTGCCAACAACAGGGCACAGTGCAGAGCTGGTTATACCTCACTGAGAATTTGGAGGTGCAGCCTGTCGCCTGCAGCTCCTCATCTGACGGAGGTGGGGAACCTCTGGCCTCCAGGCTGTATACGGCCGGCGAGACAATTTGATCTGCACCGACAGACGATTCATAAATACCAAAATACCAGCATTTTTTTCCTGAAATAAAATAAAGTACTTTATATAGTAGATATTTATATTTAACAGACAGATATGACAGTGGCATTAATATTTTTATCTCGCTCATGAGAGAGTGTCTAAGTAAAGCAGATATAAACCTGCATGATCAGATCTACTCTGTGAGGAAGGTTGTATAATTTTTCACATTGTAACCTTGAAAATTATAGTACAAAAAGAGTACAAAGTTATATACCCCAGTTATATAGTTAATAAATGCAAAATATACTTAATTTGGTTTGCCGCGGTGGCCCCCTTGTGTATTAAGTTTGGAGTAACATCAATAATTCATCCATTTCTAACTAGAATGTGATGTTGTCCTCGTACTCAGCAGGGGACCAGACTTTGAGTCTAGACACTGGTGGTGAAGGTACCACTCAGTTTTTGTTCTCTATTTTAATTCCAGGCTATTTCCCCGCTCTAATTGGCTTATTATTTACTGGCTTTCTCTGCGGAGACAAAGCGTATCACATCTGATTTCACCATCTCACACTGCATAAGATTGGAGGGACTTTGTGGCAGGTTAGTGCTTTGAGATATTAGCTTGTGAAAAACCTCTAATTTGTCTTTTCAAGTTGGATAAAAGCGGCTGTCCCAACCCTGTCTCTACTTACTCCTGTTCTATAGTATGAAGCTAAAATATCCTGGGTATGGGTTCCGCCATCTTGCACTTTGGGGCCAGAATCTGGCAGTAGTGATTGTAAAGTGGAGCCGCAGTATCACGGTCCTGCCGATACATGTGCTCGACCAACTGCTATGCATCAAATTACTTTTTATAGTATTAAATATCGTGAACAAACATCAGTGTGATGAGAACTACCTAAAATGCTAAAAGACATATCTGAAATTCTTCTTTTTGTCGTGTAGTTTTCCCCTATTTTTTGGGTCCATGTCCAATCTACTAACAGGGAAGGGGTGGAGTTTATGACCTATACTGCCACGAACCACCAGGGGGTGATCAAGACGATTTGGCTTCATTTGTTCACCATTGTTCATGTTGATATATCCAGTCCGTCGTTCAAGAAGCTTTTTAAAATGGAGCGACATTAAAATATGAAATGCAACAAAGCAAATATATTTATGTAATATAAATCCAAAGACAGGCAGATATTTTTTAAGGGTGTCTCGTCCTTGTGGTTGGTGTGTGACTTTGTTGTCTGGGCTCAGGGGAAAAGTGGAGACGTGTCCTGCAGAAATGGAAACAGAGCAAGTTATTCCGAACGTAAACACATGCTCTGTGTGAAGGAAGCCTCCCTTAAAATGGAAAACAGAACAAGGTCATAAAAGGTTGTTAAAAATACGGCCCACAGTAGTCGCTCGCTAACTGCACGACTCTCAATCTTGGATGCATATAAGCTGTGTGTTAGTTTCTATTTCCACCAGGCTCATTGTATATGTTTTTTTAATTATATTGTCTTTGGCTAAATGTAATTTCAGCTGTTTATAGAAAAAGCGGAGGGAAACAGGGAGTGAAGAGTGATTTACGGGGAGTTCGTCATTTTATAAGCCTACAAGTCAAACCATAACAATAAGCTTGGGGCAGTTTTATTTATGTGGTTATGATGAATGCCTGCATCCACTCTGTGTAACCCAGTGGACCCAGAAAACCATGAAAATGTATGAGTACTGTCAGGAATGTGCTCAGTTTTCTGCTAAAAAGACCACTGTTATTGTTACTGTTATCCCTGCATGTTTGTGTATATACACAGTCTCTGAATAGATTCTTTTCTAAGTATGATAAATGTAAATACTTGTCAGGAGATGATCCACCTCAAGGGGCTCGGGCTGCTCACAGTAAATTTGGCGTTTTAATTTGAATGTTTAGAAAGT